TTAACGTAACGAACGAACGAAAGAAGTACGTACTACTAATACGTACGACGACGACGAACCAAAACGAACGACGACAACACGACAATAGACGCCTTCCTTCTTCTTCCTCTCTCACACCTCCTCTCTCTCTCTCTCTCTCTCTCTCTCTCTCTACCCATGCACCAATTTAATACTAGCAGGACAATTTAATGTGAAACATTTTGAATAGACTACCCGGCCTATGGGATAACCCATTCTTTGTTATGTACTCCTAAAACTAAAAAACTAATACAATGGCAGTCAACTCCCCCACCCAAAAAGAAAAAAAAACAAATGAACACATCCTTTGAATTGGCAAAGAATGAAATGGTCCAATCTCCCATGACAGTTATGCCATCATAGTTCGACAAAGTATCCCAAACATTAAGCAATGATAGTCTCAGGGCATAGTATTAGCTTATTCATTAGATCAACAACTGGTAAATTAAAAGACTATTTGCAAGCTACAAAATATTCAAACGAAAAGAGCTATAAATAGCTATCTAACTCTAACCTTTGCTTGCAACAACTGAAATTGATTTCGTAGAGCCAGAACCATTGTTTTCTTTCTTGCTCCTTGGAAACTTCCGAAGGCAGAAAACAATAGCAAATATTGCAGCAACAACCATCAAAAGAGATCCCATAACCATCCCAACTATTGCTCCAGCAGCTAACTTTTCCTCTTTATTTTTAGCCCCAAGGCCGGGGCCTTGATCCTCAGGCCTAGGCTTGGTTGTGGGAGTTCCACTAGTATTGTGACCATTATGTGCTCTATTAGGAGGTGGGGAAGTGTATGGTGGAGGAGGCGGAGCAGGGCCTGTGTCAAAAGAATTTCCACTGATCCTGTATAGAAATCACAATATTGAAAAAATATATATATATGAAAAGGGGGGTTAAAAAATAGTATACACCAAAAGGGAAGTTTTGCGATTGAGAAGACCAAGATAACTTACGAGAGGTTGGGAATTGTTTTGAACTTCTCTGGTATCCAGCCACTAAAGCGATTCTTTTCGATGTTTCTAATGGAAAATGATCCATATGGACAATATTAAAAGGTATTACCACCTCAACTCAGTGTAAAGTGCAACAGACAATACTTACAAATCACTTAAAGGTACACTGGATAGAAGGTTCACTGGACCTGTCAACTGATTGTCTTGCAGGTAACTGCAATAATGTTGGATTCCACAAACCATTAGTTAATGATATATTAAACCAGGAAGTTCTAAGACACCAGCATCCTACACTTACAGAGTAGAAAGGTTTGACAAGGATCCAAAAGAGTTGGGCAGATCTCCAGTCAAATTGTTGAATGATAAATCTCTGTCAATGCAACATTAAAGTAAGATTCTTAACAAATAATGCACATTGTAGTAAGGCGTGCTGAAATTTATTCATGATTTACTATAAGTTCCATCAATAGCTCATACAAACATCCGCCACTTAGGAACAAAATGGAAGTAAAGAAGGAACAATTCAAATGCTTCAATTCTAGTGAGATATAATGCAAGTGAACTGATGCAGCTTCTGGCCAACTTAGCTTGATTATTCCATCAAAAATTCATTATGTTCAGAATCTAGATTTGTGGTCTTGTTAGCATAATCTTCACGATCATGATAAATGAAACTTGTCACAAGCAGCACCAAAAAGTTTATGATGCACAGATACTTGAAAACTGTTTCCATACCTGCATGGATACTTAAAAAACACATCATTTGTAAAAGATTGTCATTTCTATGTCTAAAGCCTAAACTTATAAAAAAGGTTGAACTATCCATGGCAATTACCTGATATGCACTATTAGGTTCCATAAGAGTTGGACTTGAAATGACAAAAATTAATAACTACTGGCCACATATAACAATCAAGAGAAACATACATTTTAAACTTTTAACCTAATTCTTTGAAACTAAATAAAACCAACTTCAAATAATGACGGGAATTTACACTCAAATTTTGACATTAGTAATCCAAATTTCCCTAAGATCCTAAAGCTCAGTTTTCTTTAAGAATGGAAGGTAAGAAAATCAACTTAAGCTTAAAAGCTAATAAACAGACACTTCAACTAGTATCACTCCACTTGCTTGATAATGCACTAGCAAGTACCATAATTCAGATATGAATTAACTTAAAAAAAAAAAAACTATATATCTATATATATATATATATATATATATATATATATGAAGTTGAAATAGCGAAAAATATGGGTCATTATTCTCTATAGTTTTCTTCATAAAATAATTGAAACATTGAGTACACATTTTCACAGATAGTTTGTAAAGGAAGAATTTGAAATTGAGATAACACAAACATATTCTTCTTTTTATTTTCCTACCAGAAAAACTGTTCATAATATTTAACAAAACTGATGCTTATAAGATCAAAATACCGTTCATCATCATCATCAGAGTCGAAAATATGACATTTTATAGAAACTACAGTAGCACAACATTTTTCCATAGGGGCTTATCTCCTCACGACAATATGTGATAAATTTAAATGGTATCTTATAATTAACTACAAAATGAAAATTTATGTAACATTTATTTTGGCTCACCAAAGGGTTATTAACTAATAGTTGTAAAGCTATAAAAACTCTCAGAGGCACAGAGTTGCTTATTACAAAGACACAAGAAAAAAAAAGGAAAAAAAGGATGCAACCTTTTTGCATACTCTAAGAGAGGAGAATGAGATTGCTGATAAACTTGCCCGAGGGCAGTAATGGAGAGATTCCCTGTATGTAGGGTCAAACCTCCCTTCCATTTGACATTTCCCTGCCCTTTCTTGACTCTCACTTTCTCACTCTCTTCTATTCCTCACCAAGCCCATCCATGATTCATTTACTCCTGTGAGCAACTGGATGTAATTGGTTTTCTCCCTTAATTCTAAAGAAACAAAAAAAGATCAAAGGAAAAGACAAGATAAAACAGCCCCCTTATGAAACCAAAATATGTGTGATTAGGAGGAGTTGAATTACATGGGGAAAATGACACAAAGTTTACACCATTTTCTGTATTTCAAAAACTCAATTTCAACTATGTTCCTTGAATTTAGAATTTATAGGCAATACATAGAGTCATCTCTATTGTCAACTCTCACCCAGAAAAAAAAAAGACAAGCAAAATCTTTATTTTCCCAAAGGGCTCAATCATACGAGCACAAGAAACTTCAACAATTGGGCATTTATGGTTAGAGTGCTGACAAATGCAGCACAAGACCCCAAGTTCAGAACTTCATTGCTGACCTTGTCACTCTCCCTTGCATATATATATATGGGGGAAAACCCTACCAAATGCCCATGATCGAAATGCTACATTGATTTTGCTCATGGTCCTAAAGTGGCCCATGATTACTATAGCATTTCGCTCATGGGTGTTTGACAAGGTTTTCCACATGTCTGTGTGTGCATGAAGACATGCTTGCATGTGTGCATGTGCGTGTGCGTGTGTGTGCATGCGACTTCCAAAATAGAATGTTAAATTCCACAATCAAGGTGAAAAACCACCGAAGAAACACTGCCTTTCTTGGCATTGTTGCACGCTTAGGTTTTGCACTTTACTTTGATGTATTCAAAGAGCCAAAGGGCCAAAGGTCCAACACAATTGGAAAATAAAGGTCCAATTTCCAATTTGTTGTTGGAAATATGGCCTATCAAGGCCTAAATTTCAGTAGTCTCTCATTCAGTGGGAGCGATTGAGAGTTTGAAATCTTGACGCTTGCGAAATGGAGCCCAGATTCTTTTACCCCGATTACGCATGAGGCATCGAGATTTCACATGTTGATAAAGCAATTTCTCAAGGAGGTGTGAGGGTCACCTCCTAGTTAGGATTTTATAGGTTAGCCTCATGTTTAGCTGCAATCGGCCAAGGCTTGGAGAATCCAAATGAGAAAAATAGAACCCGAGTACTTATTGAGTATTCACCCTGTATGGAATGGTCAAAACTTATGGGACATAAGTCTGTCTCCTGACACAAGACCATTGCATGGCATGTGTATTTTCTTTTCATACGGGAAGCCACGCTTCCAAATGCATTATCCGAGTTTAGAAGAGGCAGTGCACATGTGCTTTGAGAGGACCCCTGTAATTGAGTTGGATCATGTCCCACAGGGGTACACCTGTAATCCATTGAGAGCCGAATGATCGGAAGTTCTGGCTCAACGGCTTTGATATGACCAATTATGTGTCTCTGCTTTAGACTGTGGAACATAGGTCTATTGGGTCGATCTGAGACTCGACAGAATATCATTCAGGACTAGCCCAATGGAGTACTCCGATACCTATAGTTATTAGCTTGAGATCTCACTATACCTTTTGTCCGATTTTATAATGATGAGAAAAACCTAATTATTGCTAAAAAATACTTTAAATATTTATTGTGAATTTTAGAAAATTCTTTAAACTTTTATTTGATAAAAAAAATGAGGGTTTTCATATTGTTTGGCTCAAATTCCACTTTAATCCTGACCTGGTAGTGCCATGTGGCGTCCGAGTGGCCATAGGGCTGCCACATGGCACCCCACACCTCACTCTAGGATCACCGCCCAGCTGGACACTGATCCCTAAGTGGGGGGCTAGATTGGTATTTGGTTGCTTGTTTTATAAGGGGTTGTGTTATGGTGTCTTGTTATATATTGTTATATTTTGTTATATAATGTTATAAATTAAGGCCCCTTTTTTTATCACAGGTCTTAATTAACTCACACATGGGTCATGCATGGCATGTGTGAAGTTTAATTAATTTATTTATTTGATATTAAAGAGAAAATACATTTTCAAATTTGAATTGAAATATATCTTCACACACATGTGTGAAGGGGACATTATCTTTAAATTGATTGGTTTGAAATTTTAGATCTACAAAGCGATTGGCTTTGATAAAGTAGAATATCTACACATGTGTGAGCTTTGCCAATTACTTCTTTGCCCTTTAGCCTTTGTAGTTATCTACTCTAATACATTATTAAACAAAAACTAAGGGTATTTTTGTAAGGCCACATTGGATACAATTGGAACAAAAACATGGGCCAAGGACAAAATGGTAAAGTGGCATAACTTAGGGTTAGGGTGAGTGACAATGGTGTAAAATCTCATCCCTTCATCCTAGTGGTTGGATGGGGATGGGTAGCTAGGTATATTAGCCTCTCATGTGCCTTTGGATTGGTGCATCAAGGGTATTGCTTGAATCCAATGTTACACCCATGTTATAAAAGCACATCATGAGATCTCAAACTCGAACTATCTCAACTCTTGAACCATTTTGGAAAATTGTTGCTACCCTCCTTCTTCTAAAGTTTCTGAGAGAAAATTGAAGAGAGAGAGCTTTTAGAGTTTCATTAATGGTGATCTTGATGGTGGTCATCCTTTCTTATGCTTAAGTCCATAGTGTGCATTTATCAAGGTAAACTCCATTGAATTTTCTTTTCTCATAAGATCATATCATTAACTACTTTGCTTCAAACCCATCAACTAATTTAGTCTCAGAGTGTCACTCTATTTTCAGAACTTTTTCATCACGTTTTTACCTATAGGGGTTCCTAATCTTTCCATACAAGACTGTTTTGGTGGTTCGAGGGACCACCGTGTGTAGTTTGGCCATAACTCTCTTGTTCTTTATCCGATTCGATTCAAACCTTTTTCATTCTGTTTTGGATGATAATGCTAGTGTGTTGAGATCTTAAGAAGTGATTTTAAGTGTGTAACTTCTTCCCATTTGGATTAGACACTCTTGTGAGATTGAACCAGTTTTGTACAATCCGCAGGGACAAATTATTTATAGGGCCCCGATTGCGTGGCCTCGGCACAAGGGGTTCAAAACATGGCTTCTCTATTTTAATTTGGCATTCTAATTCCCTGTTTAGTTGATTTTATTCTTTAGAATTTTGTTGAGATTAGTTGCATGATGTATTGAAGCTTTGGGACATAGTTTATGTAATTTATGCTATGAAAGTGTAATTTATAAACTAGTTTTGCTTTATATGCAATTACCCCATAAGGAGTTGGTATTTGAGTTTATTTGCAGTGGTTATACAAGGCTAGAAATGGCTGTAATTGTTATGTAAAAGGATTGTAACTTATTCACTTAGCTTAGTTTTTAGCAAGGGGCTTGTTGAAGGTGTCCATTTTGCCTTATTTTTTGGCTTGAAAATTTGCTCTAGTCTTTGTATCCACTTTCAATTGGTATCAGAGCTAAGATGATTTACAGCCTCTTTTATGGTCTTTAGAGGGATTATAGATTACCAAATAGGAACCCATGGCAGCCCGATCAATACTCACTGAATTGTTGAAGGAGGCGAGGTTCAATGGAATCAACTTCTCCGA